CAGCAGCAGCAGCAGCAGCACCTTCACACATACTCCCAGGGCCAGTCGTTCATGCAAACCAGCGATCAATTCATGCGCTCTGGGTCCATGCCGGGGCCATTGGTCGAGGTCGCCGCGATCCCGGATCTCTTCCCCCGGAGCATGCCCTCCAGCTGGGGCGAGCCGTTTGCCGCGGCGCCGGCTGTGGCCATTCCCCGGCCTGGTGGCGGCCTGGCGGAATCCCTGCTGGCCGAGGACCACACGCCGCCGAACCTGTCGGATGGGAGCCTGCTCGGCCCGAGTGGAGCGCCAACCGGGACTCCCGTTCTCGGAACCCCGGTGGCCAGTCGACAGGCGTTCTTCCGGCAGAGTGCCAGCCTCGGGGGCTCGCGAGCTGGCTGGTCGCCAGCCGTCCTCCCACGCACCTCCTCGCCCCTGGCGGTGTCTGGTCGGGCCGCGCGCATGGCCGAGTCCTCCGGGCTAGCCGAGCGGTCGGTCCTTGGGGGCCCCCTCTGGAGGGACTCCCGCCGGCCGGCCGCTCAGCCGAACACGGCCCCACCGGCCGGCGCTGCCCCCCCTGACTCGGGTCTTTTCTCCCTCTCCCGACCGCCGGCCTCTCGATGGAACCAGGGCCCTAGCTTGGCCAAGTCGGCCGCCTCGGTGGGGGCTGTCGCTCCGACGGCGGCGGCCACCGCGACCCCTGCGGCCAAGGCACCCACCCAGGTAGCAGGCTCCCTACCATCGAGCGTCCCGACACCGGCTGCGTCAGCGCCGCCCGGTCCGGCAGGCAGTGTGGCCTCGGTGCGGGCAGCGCCCGAGCAGCCACCGGAAGCCCCTGCCGTGCCCTCGATCTTTCCTGTCGCCCGGCCGCCCGCCGGCACGAGTGTCCTTGCCCGCCCGGGCTCCAGCATGTCGGGCACCTTGGCCACCTCTACCACTGTGGCTCCCCCGGCTTCGCAGGCCTCCGTGGCTGCTTCGGTTGGGCCGGCTCCCTCGGCCACCTCCGGCTCGGGGGCCAGTTTGGCAGATCCCTTTGCCGGTCTGCTGGCCAGCCCCGGGTCGTTGAACACCCTGGCCGGCTCCGCCGCCGCTCCGCCTGCCACCTCCATGGCCCCCGACATTCCCGCTGCGCTGACGGCGGCCGACTGGCCAACCGGGCTCGAGTCGCTGACTGAGCTCTCGCTCGAGGTGCCGAACTCTGAGGGGCCGCTTTTCATCGAGACCCCGCCGCTGCCCTGGCTACAGGGAGCCGGATCGGCGGACGCTCGGGCCCGGGCCCCGGCGCCGGCTGGCCCGCTGGCAACGTCGGCCCCCGGGACGGCGGCCCGGCGCCCCGCCACCAGCTCGCTGGCCACCGTACGCGATGTTTCCTCCTCGTCGGAGGCGTCCTTCCACGGCGCCTCCACCAATGGCCGGGCTCCCTTTGTCTCGCGCACTGGCCGCTATTTGGCCCTGGCCGTCAGCCAACTGGACGAGCAGTCCCCCCTGATCGGAGGCAAGACCTCCCTTGCTGTATGTTTTTATTTTTCGCCCTCCCCTCCCTGCACCTTGTCGCTGCCGTTGCCGCTGCCATTGCCGTTGCCCCCACCGTCGCCTCTTGCCTTGCTGGGGTCCCTTGTGGCGACTGACATTCCGCCCGCTGACAGGGGGATTTGCCGGCCCCGCCGGAGCCCGAAACATCGAAGCCAGCCGGCCCAGGCCCCGGTCTCTTCGAGGGGCATTCGGTCCTGGGGCTGGATGAAGATCTGCACACAAGCCCGGATGATGCGGGCCGGCTGCTGAATACGCCCCTGCCGTCGGGATTCCACCGGCCCGGGGCCTTTATCACACCGGCCGGGCCTGGTGCGGCCCTGGCCATGCCATCCACCGAGCCGGTGACCCTGTCGCTGGCAGCCAGTCGCAGTCTCCGGCAAACTCCGGGGACTGACGAGCGCCTGGCCCTGGACCAGGCCTATGGTCGCTCGGGGCTCTGGCCAGCCCGAGCCCCGGAGCCGGAGCCGGAGCCGGAGCCGGAGCCGGAGCCCGGGCCAGAGGCCGAGCTCGAGGATGAACACTTTGTCTCGCCATTCTCCTCGCCACAGCAGCTGGGCCTGCTGCTGGCGTCGCCGGATCTGCAGCCGAGCCTGGCCCCGAGCGCCGGCCCGGTGGCCGATCGTGAGCTGGCCTCGGCCCTGCTGGAGACCGATCTGCCGATGGCGATGGCCCCGGCGGCCTCGGGGCCGGCCGGTTCCGACGACGCCGAATTCGTCCGGCGCATGAATCGTCAGACGGATGCCGCCGTCGTGGCCCAGGAGACCGATCCCCTGGACGAGCTGTCATTTGTGGCAGGCCTGCGCGCCGGGGAGGCCTCGGCCCCGGTGGGGTCCGGCGCTGCCGCCTCTGCCCTGGCCTCGGGCCGCTCGCCGCCGGCGCTTTTGTCCTCCAAAATCGGCGCCCCCAGTGCCTTGTCCTTGGCGTCGGCCACCTTTGCCCCACTCCCGGCTCGTGGCCCAGATGCCGGTCCTCCTGCGCCGGAAGCTGTTGCCACTGTGGCTCCGATTGTCCCGGCGAGTGCCGTGGTTCCTGCCCCTCCGGCGGTTGCCCCGGCCCCGGCGGCTCCTCGGGCCGAGGCCACGCGCGAAATCTCCGCGCCCGGCTCGCGTCCCCGGTCGCAGCTGGCATCCAGCCTCATCAGGATCCCCGGTCGGTCGGAGCCCCAGTCGGCGATGCCGTCGGTCGATGCCCGACGGTGGCTTGGCAGCGTGCAAGCGCCCGAGTCCAGTTTCGCCCGGGCCATGGCCGGTGCTCTGGCCGGAGCGGCCACAGCGGCCACAATGGCGATGGCCACACCGGCGGCCGAGCCGGCACTGCTCGCGGCGCCCGATGCCCAAGTTGCTGCGCAGCCCCCTGCCCAGGTGGCAGCCGCCTCGGCGAAGCTGGCCCCGGCTCCGGCCCCGGCCCCGGCCCCGGCCCCGGCCCCGGCCCCGGCCCCGGCTCCAGACCGGGTGTCGGCCGCATGCCGGATCCCGGTGATGCCCTCTCCGGTAACCACGGCGCCGGATGGCCAAGCCCAGCCCGTGTCCTCGGCCGTGTCCCTGGCGCAGTCACACCCGCAGAGGTCCTCCACGGTGGCGGCCCTCGCGCCGACCACCCCCCGGCATGGGGACTCGTACTACACCCTGCAGCCGGGCCTGAGCCAGCTGACCGGCACCCCCTCGCCGGTGACACGAGTCACCTGGCAGTCGAACCTCACCGGGTTCGGAATCACCGGTGGCGTGGCCCACCGGGCCGTGCCGCGACTTCAGAGCACCATGCGCCTCGGGCCAGACGCCGGCGCCGGTGACAGTGGCATGGCCACCTCGACGCCTGCCGGGCCCGGGCGCCTCAGGCCGGCGGACTTGTCGGCCCTGCATACCCCGACGATCGGCGGCACCGGGCGAGTGCTGCGCTTCGGCGCGGACGCCAGTCGTCCCCCCCGGCCGCCTTTGACAGCATTCGTGTCGCCCGGCTCTTCGCCTCCGGCCGGGCCTTCGGCTGCCATGCCGGCCGGTGCGCCGGCCGCAGCCCTGGCCACCGGGCCGGCCACCACCCCTGCTCCCATGTCCGAGGACACCCACGCGCATGCGCCGGCAGCCACATTGGAGCTCGCCCCGCTGGCCCGGTCCGCCTCGCTCCCCGTCCACCTGGACAGGTCTGCCCTGCCCTCGGCCACGGTGGGGGAGCCTGCTGCGGGGGCCCCCCGTGCGCGTGCTTCGACGAACGCGGGCCCGGTGCCGGAGCCAGCCGCCCTCTCGGCCTCCGGCTCTGGCCCGCCCTCTGGCAGGGCCGATCTGGCCCCTCCGAGGGACGATGCGCCGGCGGTTGGGGATCTGCTTGAGCGAGCGCAATTCATCTTCCGCATGTTTGACTCGCTGCTCGTCACACAGGACACCCCCCCTCCCGGGGGCCCTGGCGGCCATGACCACACTCCGGCCCGCGACGCGGCGCCAGGCACCCCCCAAACCGTCATTCGCTTGGGACCCGACGCCGGCCGAGCCATCGCCCCGGCTGCGGCCATGGGCTCCCCCGACGACACTAGCTTCCGGGGGGGCGCCCACTCGCCTGGCGAATTGACCATGAGCGCAGCCGCTGACGAGTCCCCCGAGCGGGTCTCCTCGGCACCGCCCACCCGGGTGCTGAGCCCCCCCTCGGAGGACAGCTCTTTGGCGAACTTGGCCTTCTTGGATCTGTACGCCCGGTGACCACCATCCTGCACCCAGCACCCTGCCCGGTCTCCTGCTGGCCTGTGCGTGCCCGGCACGTTTGTCGACTGACAATACCGAACCCCGCCGCCCGCTTGCCCTTCGAGCAGCTCTGCCATCCAATTGGACCGCACACGCCTGGAGGAGCTGATGCCGTACCCGGACGCCGGCGGCCGGGCCTTCCAGCCGGCCTTCCCGCGGCTACTCAATCTCAACCTTTCAAACAACCAGCTGGACGGTGTCTTCCCCCGTGCGTGTGCCCGAACACATGTGTCCCCCTGCTCTCGAGCCACACTGACCAGGGTGTTCCCGTGCGCCCTCTTCCGCCCGGTCTGGCCGACCCGGCGCAGTGGACCTGATCATGTCACACTGCCCGGCATTGGCCGAGCTGGACGCCTCCAACAATGGCATCCTCTCGCTGTGCCTCCGAGGGGAGATGCAATTCCTGCAGCTCCGCCGTTTGGATATCAGCGCCAATTGCTTGACCAGTTTGCGACACATCCAGCGCCTGTGCGTGACTCTGCACCGCTCGCGCTTCCTCTTGCCTTCCCTTGCCCCGTTCCCCGGTGTTTGGATCACATACTCATGAACCCCCTCGGCCAGCACAGCCCCCGCCTGGAACATCTCATCGCCTCGGCCAACCCGCTGGAGCGCCTGTGCGACTGCCAGTACCCCGGAGCGCCGGCCTGCTGCGGTGGCGGCGCCTTTTCCCTGTCCTTCCTCAAATCCTTGATCATCAGTGCGTTGCATGTCCCAGCTGGGCCCCGATGCCCGGCTTTCTCGCGGCCTGCAACAGACCTGTGGCCCCTTTTCCCCTTCTCGAGACAAGCCGCTGATGCCTCCCCCCCCCTCCTTCACACACCCACGCACGCACACACGCACCCACCCACACACACACACACACACACACACACACACACACACACACACACACACACACACACACACACACCTTCCGTCGCCAGATGAGACTCCGATTGCCGTGGTGGGCCCCTGCTCCGGCGGATTTACTCTATCCCTGCCTGGCGAGCCGGACAATGCACCCTCCTGGCACATGGGTCATATGCGCCAGCTTTCCGCCTCCAACTGCGCGGCCCTCAAATATGTGCACCTGGACATGTTCCCGGCACTGGTGCGTCTCAGGCCGAAGTGCCGGAAGCGGCCCTTTCCTTTCTCATCCTCTTGCTCCCCCAGCCTGTCTCGCTCCGAGTGCTGACCCTCCTGTATGGTGCATCGGCAGACCTTCCTCGGGCTGGATGGATCACCTGTCACGGAAATTCGCGCATCCCCACCTTCCGTCACATCAGCCCTCCAGCTCCATGTCGAGCTGGGCCGGGTGCCGGATGCCGAGTGGTGTGTTCTTTGCTTGCCCGCTGCACTTGTCCTTCCCCTCTCTTGACCCCCTCTCCCCCCGGGCCTCACTCACCGACTACTCTCCCCCCTCCCCCCTCCCCTCCTATCCGAAGGCGGACCCTCAACCCGACCATGTTCGGCCGCCTGTGGCGCACATCCGGGCACCTGGTCAAGTCACTGGCCCTTTCAGGTGCGCCAACCCCCCCCCCCCCCCCCCGCCCCCTTTCCGCGCATCTCCCCTCGAATCTGACCCAGTACCTCAGACGTGGTGCCCACTTGCAGCCTGGTGGAGCTGCTGCAACCGGTGGCCGACACCGTGGGCAGCATCACCGTGGCCGATTCGGCCACGCTGGCGCTCATCCCCGAAGCCGGCAGCCCGGCGCACATGCATGCCCGACCGCTGGCGGCTCTGCGGAAAATCCGCCTCAAGCGCACGCCCTATGCCATTGCCCCCCGGTCGGATGGGGTCCTGCGTCGGCTTCTGCCCAGTCTCTCGGAGATCATCAACTGCACGCCGGGGTTCTGCTCGGTGCGCGGCAGCGCGTCCGGCTCGCCGGCGTCCGGGACCGGCTCTCTGGCGACCTCCTCCGGCGAAGGGGCCCCCGGCCAGGCGCCAGGGCCCTGGTCCCGGTCGTTTGGCGCGCCGGCCGCAGCTGGCTGGTCGGGCGTGCCGGAGCAACCCGGCAACCCGGCCGCGCCGCTCGAAAATAGCATGCCGGCTCCGCTGATGGGCGGCCTGGATTCCTCGCTGGCAAGCCAACTGGCCAGTCAATTTGTGGGGAACCTGGACATCCTGCAGCCGGGCCATTTGACGAGCCCGCTATTGCGTGATCTGGAGCTGGCAGACTGGCCGGCCCCGGGTGATGTGCCCGCTCAGCAGGTGGCTGATCGACTGGCGGCCCCGCCGGCTTTGGCCGACGGTCCGCCCGCGTCGGCGATCGCTGCCGGCGAGGAGCCGGGCCCTGGTGCCTCGCCCACACCGTCCGGCATCCTGCCGGTGCGCGATCCGCACCTGGGCCTGGAGCTGATTGGGCTTCGTGCCGGCTGGTCGGCTGGCCCCGGGGCCAATGCCCAAGTGGCTGCCGCCTGCCAGGCTTTCCTGGACTCCTGCTCGCTGGTCGGACTTGGGACGGGGAAGCAAATCCGGCGACGGGTGCTGCGCGGCTCGCCGCGGCCAGCCGGCAGCACCGAGGCCATCCGCCGTCTGCTGGCGGACATCCCCGGGGGCCGGCACAGCCCGGCCCTGCGGGTGGCCTTCGCCGGCGGGCATGCCGACATTCTTGAGCGCCTGGCAGCGCCCAGTCGCCGGCCTCGGCGGGCACATGGCTCCTCGGCGCATCGGCTCGCCTGGTCCGATTGGCCGGGGCTGTGTGAGGCAGTGGCAAGCCGCAATTCGGTGGCCGAGTCGCCTGCCGGAGCCTTCAGCGCGCTGGTGTGTCTCCTGTGGCTTGGCCGCGCGGTGGATAGCGACCATGGCCGGTCCTTCCACGAGGTGGCCTCATCGCTGCTGCGCCCGGCGGCCGATCGGCACCCGGAGATGTCCCCATGGGCCGGCGGGTCGGACATGCTTGGGTTCCCGAATACGGTGCTCGCCGGCCCCGGGGCTGGCCCCGGGGTGGAGGAACTTGCCTCGGCCGGGCCTCAGGCCGGAGACCTGGCTTGGCGCGTGGCCAGCAAGATGTTGGCCACCGGCACCGTATGGCTGGCCAATCCGACCGGCGCCGCGCGCGTGGTTCCCCTCTTCTGGCTGGACTATACAATGTGAAGCGGCGCACGACCGCAGTCGC